AGAGATATTCGTTCTCGTAAAATCGAACCGGAGATTTCGCGTAGAGACCTGCTTTCAAGGAGAATCCTAATAGCGGTAGATGGTATTCTACTCTACTTAAGACAAAGACGTTGCACGCTGCGCCTACAGTCCTTCTGCAGAGCCTGGCGCGAGGTGTGCTTCGCATTTGAGCGGAGCGCGTTTTCATCTCATCTCAAAACAATGCGGTAAATCAACGACCAGCTTTTGACGGGCTTAGGTGCAATATTTAACCTGCCTTTCTTTTACTGTATATCCTTCCTTGACTCTCATTCGCAAAGGAATGCGGTTAATCAACATGAATCTCTTATTTCTGTTTTCAAGAAGTCGTCTAGACAGCTGGTGTTAGGCCTTCTACTTTTTTTTCCAATTTCAAAATGAATTTCCTTTCCTCAACTTTGTTTTTTCAAAACCCTTTTTATTGATTTGAAGCATAATGTATGAAGAAAAATATCTCTAATGATCACAACATTCATCGCGAGTACGTCAGTACCAGTTAGGGTCAAGCTTAACTCCGCATGGTCCCTGAATATCTCCACGATATTGGTGAATGGCTGGAGTCTTCCATCCTCCGAAAGGAACGAAGTTAGCGTAATCCTGCAAAGCTTTTGCACTTCTAAGTACTCACTTTACAGGAAACGAAACCCACTCACTTGCTTTCCGTCCCAATTGGCCCACCAAAGGGGCCTGTTGGACCACTTAGCCCAATTTCCAACAATAGTGGACCATGCAGACTTACTAGTGTAGATTCCCCAATTGATACCCATTTCCTGAAAAAAAAGAGATTCAAATCTAGGTTAAGCAGGAAAGACGAAAAAGATGTACCCACATTTAGTTTATTACCCATGGCAGTTATAAGATTTCTATTTGTATTGATATCCTTTGGCCAAGCGAAGACTTCAACATCTAGCCAAATCATACCGAATTCGGCACCTTCAGCACGCAAACGATTTACTGTAGCCTCAACCTGTGAAAATGAATTTTTAAAAATGCTTAGCAAAAATATCTAATGTCATTTTTAATTGAATATGCAAGAATGTACTAATAGCTTGACTGTCGTATGCAAAAAATTCTATAGTTTATTCCTACTTTTTTCATATCTCTTTCTACCGTATAATATAACTTTTCAATTCACACAAAGGTAAGAAAATACCCAAACTACCTGATTTTGTACGGGGGCGCAAGTTTTCTTTAAACAAGGGAATATGTAGGCGTCAACGTACTTCCATCCAGCTATAATTATGCCACTAACAATAATTTGTTATGGAAAAGTAATTTTTTTCAATATTTTACCGGCTAAGAGCTATGTAATCTGACCTTTGCGAGCATTTTTAATATTCTGAATGCCAACCAGATCGTAATCCCCATAACTTTTCCACGCTCTGGCGATGAAAAAACGGTAACCATTTTTATGTAGACATTGGAAGGTTTGGACTGGGAGCGACTGAAAATAGGCTATTTATAGTCTGTAAAAAAAGATAGAGGCACGCTG